GTTTCGCAGATTTGGAGAGCAGATTTGAGATAAGCGTCCAAAAACACATCTAGTGGTGTATGTCTCGTTACAAATGGCCACTTCGACCTGGTATCCTTCCCTTGTAAGTAGCACTATCCGCTACAAAAGCGAAGTATTCAAGGGACTTAGCTGAGCGCTGCGTGTTGAGGGCCTCGAGTGCGTTTCAGACATTATGAAGCGGATTCTTGAATCCATTGACGTTTCCGTCAGCAGGCACACTCGTCTTCGATGTAAAATCGTAAACTAGTATGTAGATTTGATGGAAAGATATGGGTGGTCACCTTCCAGGCGCAACGATCTCTGGGCAGCTAAGCTGAAAGGAACTCCGCGCACATTTTGTCGTGCCGAGTTCTGCGGAAATCTTCAATGATTTGTGATATCCATTTGATGCGTTCCCTCGATTCAAGTATATTTTTAGGACATGAAGAAGTACGGAATTAATTCCTTAATCTCTGTTTTTATCTTTGTGTAATTATAGGCAAGGTGTGCTATTGCTTCGTATCACCACAAAAGCCGTCACCGTTTCCGGATCCGATGGTATTTGAGATATAGGGCTCATTTGAATGCAGTTTTTGTCACTCTATCTACAATACTATTCGACTGTGGACACTTTTTTTTTCTGAAAAGTGAAAAAGATTGACAATCGAACTGAGACAACGCCTCCATCTAGCTCATCACTTGTCTTTTCAGTTTACTTCTGTCCTCACTGCTAATCACCAACGTTGTACCTAATCGCTGGCAAGGGAGTTAAAACGACGCGGGCGAATGTCTCATGCATGTGCATCGACCATGCGTTTCCATGCAGAATCAAACACGCTGCTTATGAATCTGTAGTTCCATCATTATATGGTTCTAGCGTACACAGAGCATTACTGACACGAGAGACTTGCTTCTCTTCAACTCTTCCCAGAAATTCACTCTAGTTTATAGTTCCTCGCGTACATACACGGTACTGTATCGAATTTTTGAAATCATGATTCTTTGTCAGCGTAGTCACACGTAATACATAATGACATACAGAGCGCAAATCACTCTACGCTTGAGAGAGCTGAAAGCTGAACAAAGAGCCAATGCTAATACATAAAATTTAAGATAATATAAGACATCCTATCGTAATGTAATATTACCAAGTGCAATCATATTTAACACTCGACCCACTGCGCAGGACGTCACTTGCAGCCTTCACTTTGAAAATGAGCAGTACAGTTGAACGCGTCTCTAGCCGTTAATATTACGGGCATTCGCAGAGATAGTGCAATAAAGGCATGATCACACCAGCGCATTATGCCATAATGAGATACGATCTAGGGAGATCTTCGAATCGTGAGCGATCGTACTCTTGTGCTTCAAACATAGGGTCAGGAGTAGCACACACCAGGAACACTCACGTGCCTGCTGAGGGAAAAAAGACAGAAAGCGAATATAGGAAGCGACTGAATTTACCCTTAGGCAGCCGAGTAGACTACGATACGATGATAGAGTCACAGCGCGTCCGAGAGAGGAGCGACCGAGATTAGAATTGCGCACTAGCGCAGAGAGGACGCATGGAGAGCTACGCGTATGCGGTGCGACCTACGCTGGCAGGCCGCGAGGCAGGCGGCGGGCCACGACTTAGCGCCATGAGTGCGCCGAAACGTCGCCGATTCTTCCCTATGTTCTGCCGAATCTCTAGAAACTGGTGACAGAGCACCATGCCGCCTGTGAACATTCTTCCTCATCTGCTTCGTGAAGACCGTGGCTCGTTCTTGACTATCAGCACACACACGTCATCGCATCTTAGGCAACAGCACAGAAGTTTTCCAACGTATGTACACAAACCATTTCCGGTGCCTCAATCCGATAACGCGTCGGAGGTTCAAGGTCCGAGCTGACGCTCTCCCAAGCAGTAAAGCGGCATGCATTACTGGCACGTTCGCCAAAAGTGCGCGACAAATGGCGCAAAGTGGCTTTGCCCCCGCGCTGCCCGCGCTGCCAGCGTAATCCACCACGGCATACGTGGTCTCTGCGTCCTCTCGCGTACGACGTACTATCTCGCGTTCTCCCTCTCCTCGCAGCGCTGTGTCTCTCCGTCGTACTACGGCCGGCCTCCTAAGGGAAATTTAGTGTTTTCTATGGTGCTTTTTGCTTTTTCTCCTCACTAATGTTCTTCACTCCACGGATCTCTTTCACTGAGGGTCCTCTCTCACTGAAAGATCTCGAGCCGGTTGGTGGCGAGGCTACGTGGCGCGACCCCAGGTGGCGGATAGGGGGTAAATCGCGGACCAAAAGCCACCATGTACTTGCCCTGAGACGCAGGTGGATTCAGGGGATGGACTCCCTGTTTCTGTAGTGCTGTGTCGATTCATACCAGCTTCTCCATACAGGTGTATCCATGCATGCTTGCGTGTGTGGTGCGCTCTGTGTGTGCGGTTGGTATCCTGCATGTCGGCACAGCCAAAAGCTTGCATTCAAGTGACTGGGAAGTACATGGGAGGCGATTCGGGGCCGCCTCCAAAAAATAAGCCCCTTGTTCCGCTCCAGGATAGCGTGGCTAACTACCTGGAGGTCTATCCTAGCCCGCACGACAGAGCCTGGCAAGCTACTCGTGTGCCTTCAATATGCCGAAAACAGCAATATGGATGGGCCTCATTCCCCTGAACCTGAGGGAGCCCCCAATACGGCAGCGTTGGGGGTAGGACCGCTCGGGAGAGGCTGCTAGAATCTCAGGCCGGATATGAGCGCCTAAATAAGAGCATGCAGCAGTCTCCAGCTAAGCGCTATCCGAGCTGGCGAAGCTATGCAGAGAGGCGATAAAGGAAGATTCATCAAGGAACAGAAGAGCAGCAGTATTAGCTGAAGCAGCAGAGGCTGGGAGGAGCATCCGCAATGCCCGCCGAAGCTTTGCCAGCTACAAGACCAAGATGACCTGCCTCCGACGTCCGGATGGAACAGTCACTGCATCCCGAAGGGCAATGGAGAAAGTCATCCACGACTTCTACTCGGATCTCTTCGATAGCCATGTCCATCTGCCCACTTATCAACTGCAACAGGATGGATACGTCGTCCCCTCAGTACTCTCTTCCGAAGTCCGACACGCCATCAAGTCGGTGAAGAATCGTACAGCACCCGGTCTCGACAGGGTCAAACCGGAACATCTGAAGAACGCGCCGCCAGTTATCATCAAAACTCTGGCTCGACTCTTCACGCGCTACCTGTCGGAATGCAAGGTACCCACTCCGTGGAAAACCAGCAGGACCGTGTTGCTGTACAAGAAGGGAGACCTGGACGACATTGGCAACTATCGCCCAATCTGCCTGCTGTCTGTAATCTACAAGCTATTCACTCGAGTCATCCTTAACAGGATCGGCAGAATACTAGATGAAGGACAGCCATGCGAGCAAGCAGGGTTTCGAAGAGGGTTCAGCACGATCGACCATATCCACACGGTTACAAGACTCATTGAAGTTTCACGAGAGTACAAGATGCCGCTTTGTCTCACGTTCATCGACTTGAAGAAGGCCTTCGACTCTGTGAAGAGAGAGCGGTCATCAAGTCTTTGGGTAAACCAGGGCGGCGTTCCTACTCCCAGTACAGTACATCAAGATTCTTCGTGAGCTCTACAGCAACTTTACGACCAGAATCTCACCATTCTACAAGGAGGTCATCATCGACGTCAAGAGAGGGGTCCGACAGGGCGACACCATCTCGCCCAAACTCTTCAGCGCCGCTCTCGAGAACGTCATGCGTCAACTGGAATGGGAAGACATGGGAGTGAAGGTCGACGGCCGGCAACTACACCACCTTCGTTTTGCTGACGACATCGTTCTTATAACGCCGAACATCGAGCAAGCGGAGCGAATGCTGGTATGATTTCGACTGGCTTCTTAAAGTCAACTAAACATCTTGAACCTAGCGATATGAGGAATGGGCCTGTTTCTAGACCATTCACCCAACTGCAGCATGCCTCCACCGAGTGCTCCAGTTATTGAATGTACCTAGGTCGGGAAAATCAATATATGATGAACGACCTAGCTCCAGAGCTGAGCAGGAGGAAACGAGCGGCATGGGGAGCATTCAAGAACATCGAGGGAGTAGTGAAGAAGACGAAGAACATCCGGCTCCGTGCCCACCTCTTCGATTCCGCTGTCCTTCCTGCCCTAACCTACGCCTCAGAGACTTGGACTCTGCGCAGGCAGGACGAGCATGCGGTCAGCGTTATCCAACGCGCTGTCGAGACAATTTGGGCGTCACCCTATACAACGCTAAGCTGCAAGGGGATCGGAGTTCCGAACCACGTTCAACGGTTAAAATTGGGACGCCGTCTTTGCCAAAGCATCAAAATAAACAGGGCCGAACACGTTCATGACAATCATCTGTGATTGACCGTCCAGACCAGCAGCGGTGCTGGTCTGATCCGATCGGGACTGCAAAGCCACCATGGACGAACCGCCTGAGCTGATGTCAGGCCTCTGCGAAAATACTGGCCAAGGTAACACATGCAAGGTCCACCTCTCTGATGTCCTGAAACTTAACACCTTCAAGAAGGAAGCGTGCTTCAGGTTGCAAAAAGGAAACACTACTCTTCATGAATTTCGAGCAGAATGGAACAATCTATCACTCCTTTGCGAGCCAGAAGTAACATCCTTGTTCAACAAAAAAAGGTAGACCGCAAAGATACCAGGTCATTAACTAGCAAAAAATAGCTCCTGAAGCAATGTACTGGACAGAAATGTGCTGCAATCACCGAAACAAGTCTTATAGAAGAACTAAAAGAAGGAAACAAGTATCCCGGGGTCACCATGTGTGTAGAGTCCTGCGGAGGTTTTGGTTGTGATTGCGTCTCTTTAGGTTCCGGGTGCCTATTCTATCGCATCTATGCCACCCCCACCTCATCAAATGTCTACGAGATCTTTCGCTGCAACCGGTGGAGAGAAACAGCTAAGGTCAAATTCACACATACGGACATACGCCAAAAGAAAACACAGTCCTACACAGCTTTCATGATACCGTATGTACCAATTAAGTGGAATTCGTTCACGCTAACTTTGTCCTTAGTGAAATCTGCTCCAACTCCTTTGCTGAACACTCCGTTTATTACCGACGGCAATTCCACCGCTATATGGAATCCGCAATTAACACCACTGTTGGAATGCCAAAATAGGTCTCAAGCCCAAACGTTTGACTGCAACATAGCAAACAAGTGCGTGTGCTACCCAGCCGAAACGCAAGCAAACTGCAATTGTGAAAATCTTAACATTTCGGCGTGGATTCATGACTTACGGCATCGACTTCCTTTGGTGTTCCCCTCGGTGATCTTCAAAAGGGACAGAGAAGGACAAGTTCATGCAACAATTCCTAGTATGACGACAGCAGAAATAATAATGACGATGCAAGGCAATCTGGAAACCGACATTTTGGTTGATGAAGCCACATGTTCGATTTCAAACGTTCTACTAACAGGTTGCTACAAATGTGCAAAAGGAGCAAGGGCGGACGTGACGTGCACATCCTCAAAACCTACTCAAGCAGAGATAATATGCGAAACCATCAGTTTCACAGTGGAATGCAACCAAGAAGGAAAGACTTCGTCATTACGCTTTAGCTTCGACACCGCAAGAATTCATCAGAAATGCAGAGCATCATGTGGGCAATCCGTGACCATTTTTGAAATCGGTGGACTATTAAAGTACCCTCACACGGCTTCCAATATGGTTGATAGATGGTTGAGAGGGGAAACAAGTAGCGAACCTGTTGGATTTCATTGGCCCGATTTTCCACATATCCTTGATGTATTCCTCATGTGGTATAAGACTCTGTTATCAGCAGTCTTGGCGCTATTGGTACTGCTCGTGCTTACTTATATTCTGATATCCGCATATGGAATACGAGTCACGAAATGGATCTTGAAAACTGTTTTCCGCATCTTGACTTTACCGGTGCTATTGTTTTTTCGTGGGGCCTCACATCTTCTGCACCAACAAGTTCGGAAAAGGCATGAGAAAAGATGGTGAAAAACAAGTAGCACATGTTAGATTAGATAGAAAAGGCGCTTGTAGCTTATGGTTAGTCATAGATTCAAAAAACCTTCATTTCAGAATGGACCCACGAAGTATGGACAGCGATTTCTTCTACATTTACAAGTATCTCCAAGGACAGTCAGTCAGTGGCTTCGAAAACGACCTAACCTTGACGATAGAAGCTATTCATCGACAAGTTTTTGTCTTTGGAACTCTGAGAAAAACGACTGGGAGCACCTGAAAAGCAACGAAAATTTCGTTTTGGGGGGACCAGGAGAACAAGTCCTCCTAATCATCGAGCTGCTTCGAACGGCGGAACAAGCAGTGGAGCAGATCAAGAAGCTAGCGACTCGTTTTGTTCTCACGGACCGATTATTCGAAGCACTAGTTCAGAATGGAAAGGTCAATCCCAGTCTTCGGCGAGATTGGTTACGCAAGAAGCACAAGTTCGACGTGGAAGCGGACAAAGTGCTCGAGTTTGTGGTCAGAAAAACGAGCGACTTCGAAAAAATCGTCGACGAGCTCTGCAAAGAGAAGAGAAAAGCTGAAAGGAGGCTGAACGATTCGGATCAAGAGCGTCGTCCGGAGTTGCAGAAAAAACAGCTCCTTCATATTCTCCGGGAAGAAATGGCTCTGGAGGCCCAATCAACTACGGAGCAGATCAGAAGTCTGAAAGAAAGGGTAAAATCACAGGAGGCTGAAATAGCTCGTCTCAAAGGAATCATCCAGACGAAAGAGCAGCAAGAGAAGGAAAAACCTGGTCCAAGTCGTGTGCAAGTGACAGTTGATGCCTCAGATGGAGCAAAAGGAGGCGCTGCATTGGAACAAGTGCCCATTGAGATGGAAACTGATGAAGATTACTTCGAGAAAATGGTTCAAGAAGTACAAGAGGACGAAGAGATGACGGATACGGAACAAGAAGAAGAAGAACGTGAAGACTCTTCGGGGCGAATTATTCAACTCTGCCAACAAGCCC